CATGACAACCTGCTCACAATGCCCTGAGCATCCCACAGTTCCTGGCTGAGAAGAACATCACGGTGCTGGAACAACCTCCCTACTCAGCCCACCTGGCTCTGTGGGATTAGTTCCTCTTCCCCAAGCTCAAGGGGGTCATCAAGGGGATCCGTTTTGAAGACGTGGACGACATCAAGATGGCTGTGATGATGGAGCAGCGGAGGATCCCGGAAGAATCCTTCCAGGAGTGCATGGCGGCATGAAGAAAAGGCTGGGAATGTGTGTTAGACTCCAGGGGGATGACTTGGAAGGAGAAAACTTGTGGTTTGGATTTGAAATATATCTTTTATGACACCAGTCCTGAAACTTTTCTGACACACCTCGTAGTCTTTTTTTCAGATTATAGGGGCTTTGCTAATCTTTAAATATCATTTAAATCCTTTCAATGAAACGTTGATAGAACAAAAAATAAGCCATTTGTGTTTATCAGAGTGTTTACATGAGAGTCATATGCAGGGTTATTCATTAGTTTAAAGAAATAAATTTTAAAAGCTCATTGTTTAATATGTGAAATGTGCCAAAGCCGAATATTGTTTTTGTTTGTTTCATGGAAAAAACAGCTCTAAATATGTAACTTTGATGCACAAAGACGAGTTTTTATTTTGGGTTAAATCAATGACCGGAGAGGGACTTTAACAGAGATCGAATGTCGTGCCTTCTTTACGCGTTTGAGACCATCTGTGGGGTGGCGTTCTCAGTAGATTTTGAAAGTTTCTTCCACTGAACGCTTTGATGAAACTCGCAGGAAAGTAAAACCAAGAATTCCCTCTGCTACAAAAGTTCATCAGAGCCTCAGAAGTTAATGATTAACAGCAGCTCAGATTAGATCTTACATCAGTGTTTCCCAGAGTTTAAGTACCAGACACAACGAAACATCATCCGTTAGGAAACTCTATGAACCAGGACCTTCACGGTAGAGCTGCTGCAAAGAAACTATGATGGAAGAAGACCGAGACGAAGACAACTGTTTGGCTCAAGAAACACAATGAATAGACATTAGATCAGTAGAAATGTGATGAGTCCAGATTTTAGATTTTTGGTTGCAGTCTCTGTGAGATGCGTGGCTCACACCATGAATTCACAATTCTGACTTCCCACAAGTAAATGGCCTTGATTGATCGTGATATTAGCGATTAAAATGCTCCACTCACAGAAAAAGTAGACAACAATCCGTGTAAATAAATCTGTTTGTTTTAATTTAGGTGAATCTGACATTAAAAACACCCTTTTTCTACAGTTTTTAAGCTAACTTTTGGTCTCACTCCTGTTTTAGTTGCTGCACTGCATTAACTGAATGGAGACTAGAGGCTTCTCTGTGCACAACTGATGAGTTTAGTGAGGTGTTTTTGAACTATTGGTCAGTTTTAGTGTCTACTTTTAGGCAGAGTTTAGCAAGTGAGGCGTTTGTTGGGAGGGTTTAAGTATATTTTGCCTCCAGGAGCTGCACTGAACTCAAATAAAAAATATTTTTAAATTATGTTTCGATGCAAATATTTGAACATTAGCAGGACCGTAACACAACATGGAAGTGAAAGTGGACTGGTGCTCTATTTATTTAGATTTAATTTAGTCCCAAAAGTCAATGAATAATCACAAAAAAAATAATCCTAACTACTGATGAAAATAATTGTGACTATCATGATTGCTCTAATCCATGAGGCATGGCTGATTAGCTGTGATTTTTATGAGTGGGGTTTGCTGGTGACACTGATTTATTCCGTTGAACCAGCACAGCTACCACAACATTCTGCCACTCCATCTGCTCTGAGCTCAGTGGGACCATCATTAGCGTTTCAGCAGGACGGCGAGCCAGAACCTCCTCCAGGCTCTGTGAGGGCTGTTTGACCAAGAGGCAGAGTGATGGAGTGCTGCATGAGATGACCTCCACAGCCATCCAACCTAAACCCAGCTGAGATGGTTCGGGATGAGTTGGAGTGCAGAGCGAAGGAAAAGCCGCCAACAAGTGCTCAGCATATGTGGGAACTCCTTCAAGACTGTTGGAAACGCTTCAGGTGACGACCTCATGAAGCTGCTTGAGAAAATGAAGAGTGTTTATGTTTTTTGTTTTTTTTTGGTTCCCTATATAAACCTAAATATGTTATTTCATAGCGCTGGTGTCGTCAGTTCTGTTCTACAATAGAGAAATTTGTAAAACTGGAAAGAAAGAAAGAAAGAAAGAAAGAAAGAAAGAAAGAAAGAAAGAAAGAAAGAAAGAAAAAAGGACCATTGAATGACTAAAAGTTTGGGCACATTTTTTTGTAGCAAATTAGTCAAAAGGGCATTAAATTAACTTATTCTAGTGACTTTTATTGTCTGACCTGTTGTCAACAACCTGAAAATTTGTGTCACAGAAAACTAGAAAAATATGAAATATTCACATATGAGACACTGGTACCTGTGGGGGTTTTTTTTTGTTTGCCTTTTTTTTGTCATTTTTGCTTTAAAAAAACCACCTATGTAACTAAGCAACTATTTCATTAATTAACTAATCAGGTCGAACCCTTGCTTCCAGATAAAATACATTACAATAAACA